GGTTTTGCTACGCTGCTGCACACTACCTTATTGTACATAGTGGCACAATCAATCTCATTTATCTACACAGTGCACTATCCCGCTACCGTTCACCTTACTGCGTGCATTCGTGCCAGGATCAACATACAGTATCCCACTGTCTACTCCATCGTACTAGATAGTTGTGCCAGTAGAAGCTCACTTATCTATACGGCGCCGGGACTATACCGCTACAGTACCGTCCCACCACACACAATCGTGTAAGGACCAAGATACAGTTCGGACACTACTGCCTACTCCACCGTACTTTACACAACTGTAGTACTACCAAGCTCGCCTATTTACACCGTGCCGAGACTATACAGCTAACGTAATACTGCAGATATTCGTGACAGGACCTACAATTTCTGCTACTACTAATACTATAACTACTACCACACTTTACTGTATATAGTAGTGGTCTGCCGAGCTTCATCTTCACAGCATTGGCACTACCCCTCTACCGTGATCAGTCACCTCGCAGGATCGTGTGAGGACCAACAGAAAGTTGCAGTAGGACTTTCGTACTACATTCTACTCTGTTACATTATCGCTACACGACGCCAACTCTATCAAGTTCTGGGTGCAGATCGATCTCCGCTGTTGTAAATTGAATCACACCTGCCACACGAGCTCATCAACAGCGCCACAGAGCAAAGCAGCGACAACTCGTCCCCGCCCTTGCGCGCCCTTCCGGCAACCTTTGAATTCTAGAATTCTGCAACACGAACTCGTCCTCGGCTTAATTTTCAAGCGCCCACACTAAATCGTCAAATGTCGACGACGACACGGACTAAACGTCACGGTCGACTGTATAGATTATTCAAAGCGCTGTAAGTCGGATTTCAAACGTGCAGCTTTTGCAGATCTTATTTTTTTTTACCTAGCAAAATCCCTAGAATCTCGCTGTTCCTTGTTTTCCTTCACACAAATTCAATCATCTTTTTTTAATTCTGCAAAAGGCTTGGCTGGCTAATAGCTGGCACTCAAATTCAAGTGCGCTCCTTCAGTGGAATTGACGAAATTGCATCGACAACACAGCCATGAATGCCATGAAATGGATTTCCTGAAAAAAATATTGGGTTAGCGGGGAGAGGTCTGAAGAGAACTTGGCAAAAATTTTTTCAAATAAAAATGGGGAGAAATGAATGCGCAGTAATGTATCGTTCATTCGTTGACCGTACGGACTGCCGACCGCGTGGCGACTGCGACGCGTGCCTTCTAAACTTGCGAAAAAGTGACAAGTTAGACCGTGGCTTAAGATGAGAAGAATTCTTTGTTTCTTTTCTACTTTATAAAGATGAGAAGAATCCTCTGTTTTCTTTCTATTCATCTTTTCTACGAAAACATCATGCACGCGCAGCGGTCGCCGCGCGGTCAGCAGTCGTTACGGTCAACGAATAAACGATAGCTGTCCACATTTCTATCTTGAGAAATATGAAATGAGACTGATTTCAATACTTTGGAAGAGTGGGCAAACTCGTCCAACATATGATTTGCTTGCCCTCGCATGACTTTACCATTTCAACGATTTTTTGAAAAATTATTGCTCGCACAATAAGTTCATATTGCTCAACTCATAAAAATTACGATACCTAGGAGTTGATGGAAAAATTACAAAAATTATCACCGTTTCTGACACATGAATTTCATTTTTTTCCAGAGTTTTATGAGATTTTGCTGTTATTTCCGAGAAGATAGAAATTATTAGTTGAAAGAAATCAAAACTCTTATTCATCCATATCAGTTTGTTCATGGTTTATTTTGCGGAAAAAAATCTCTAAAAATTCTAACAAGCGGAGAAACTTGGGGTATTTCTGCAATTTCAGACATTCTCTGCGTCTCAATTTATTACAAACTAGTGAACCAGTAATCTAAAGGTGCTATTTGGAAGAGCGTTCGCTTCGGGACCGCCACGCGATTTCCCGCTATTTGCACAATTTTGAGTTGAGTTAACGATTCTTTACATATTAGATATAGTATGTTTTAATATGTGAGAAACTAGAGTTCATTAGTATCTGCTCAAGAATTTTTTACGGAAATCTTATCCTCAATGTTTATTTTTTCAAATTTTACAACCAAGAGTTTTGTTACATCTTCCCTTCCACAAATCCCATACAAATATCATTTCAATTTTTTTGCGAAGCCTGCCTACCAGCTTGAAGCAGTTATTTCTAGCAAATAGCTGGTTTCCGTCACCTGCTTGCTAATTTTTTCACACTAGGGTAATTTCCACATAACAACAGTTGCTCTTGTGTCCTTTGTTCAAGCAAATTGTCACAGTTGCTGATTATCAGCTGTTACAAATTACTTGAGTTTCCGGAAAAAGATACTCTTTTGAAACTCAAAAAATTAGATTGGGGAAATGGAGAATTGAAGACACATTTCTCACCCTTTTATTTTTTCAAAAAAAAAATCACCACATGGTGTCATATGAATGAATCTAGTGAATTTGCCAGATGTTACTTACCCAGATTTTTTCCTCAACCCAACCCATTCTGCGCTTGGCATAGTGCCAAAATCCCAGGATCAGCTGAGTAAGCTTCCTTACCCATGTTGTCAGCGCTACTCGCACTCCTTATGCCCCCCCCCCTCGAGCCTCTACCCATAAACACCCCTCAAGCTCTTCAATAACACTTGCTGTTATGTTTTGACATCCGCGCATCCCCCTAAAGCCGTAGAGTCATGTATCTTTCCAGATTCAGGAAAGTGCGGGATGTCCCCAGGGGAAAGCTTGTGTGTGCTTATCCCATGCTTCGCCCAAAGCAACCATCACATAGGCTAAATAGCCGCGCATCTCAAGCAGACAACTTCTTCCGACTACTAAACTCTTGGCTATAGTCATGATATGTCATTTGTGTCAGTTGTCCATTTAGGTTTTTGATCTATGAGCCCTTTTAGTTTAAGGGTTTAAGGGATCCTCTTAAACACTTTTTTCTCGAATTCTGATTTTGGAAAGAGATTGGGTGCAAGCCACGCCCATAGATTCTCATTTCTATGTAAGAAGGTGTGCGTTCGTTAGCATTCACATAGCCTCATGCTTATCTCAGTGGCCTTGCAAACATTTTTTTGCTATTTCTATGATTTTTTTTTCAAATTTTTTGTTGGACGGTAGTTGTTACATCTACCCTCATCACATTCCACTGAGAAAATTTAAGGTTCTACTTCATCTTATTTCTCCCAAAAAAATTCCAAACATTTTCGAACTTGAGGCTTGCGGTAAAATTAGCAGTTCTTTGTTGTTGTTTTTTTTTTGACTGAGCGCAAATGTTACGTATCAAAACATTTCTGTTTCTGTGGCAGGCGTCAACAAAATATTTTCTAACATATCCATCTGTTCATTATGAAAGAGTAAGTTTTTACAACCCCGTAGTTCCACTCAAAATTCAGAAATTTTTTGTGGAGCTTGTCTATGGAATCAACTCATTTTCCTTTTCGTCTGCAATTTTCTTTGCCCAATTCGATCCATTAGAAACCATATAATCGTATAATATAGTATTTTATACCGTATTTACCACATTTTATCACATCCTTGTTGTTTTGCGAGGATTCGACTATGGCATGTACCTTTGATTCAACTGGATTGGCGGCTGGAAGGCGGGGCCGTGACCTGGTCAAGGCTAGACAATGGAGAGCACGCGCGAGAGAGACATAAACTGCGTCGCGCGCGCGAGCCGCCTTAATTAGGTCACAAGCCCGCCTTCCAGCGGCCAATCCAGTTGAATCAAAGGTTACACTCCCATGGAAAAATGTCGCTTTTTTGCAAATGCGCCAGCTCTTTTATTTTTCTCAATAGTCTATCTTATTATCTTCAACTTAATTCAATAAGAGTTGATTGAAATGTCAAATGTCAAGTCGATCGAAGCTAGATCACTCAAATAACTGTAACACTTGTCTGCCTAACATTCCGAAGCTTCAATGTCAGTGAACAAGGAAAAAATGTTACTATTTTGGTAACGACATCATTGAGCCAGACGGAGATAGCTATTCGTCCACCCACTATGTGCAAAAACTTGAGTTTTTCTGAACCAAGCAACTGCAGAGGTTTATCACCCTTGCAGCTTTGCATTACGATAGAGAATCAAAGCAAAAAGATAAAGAATACATTTTTTCATCTTCTAAGATTTTTGCTCCAATTCGTTTACTAAATTTAGTCATGTCAAAGCTCTGTGCTTTTACCCTAAACTCGGATGCGAGGGCGGTAGGCTTAGCTTGCCATGAAAAAGCCTTCTGGCTTCCAAAAGCTCCTAAGTGCAGCCGGAAAACGCTCGCGGAAGATTTGTGTGTGACCATTTTAAAGTACATCAGGGTTTTGTCTTGATTTATAGAGCATAGTTTGTCGCGCGGTAGCTTTGACTAAATGCACATTGCCCTTTTTTTGACAATGACATGCTTAAAGGTGACATTTTTACTACACGAGGCGAAACGTGCTTGTATTTGTCCTTTAATGGCAGCGTCTGGGCGAATCTGGATATCTTACGAGTCAAATACGTATCTGAGTTATTGTCTAACCCATTTTCCTAACGGCAGCTCCCATGGTTTATTCGCTGGCGAGAAAGTCAACTCTGAACTCTCGCCCAATACCGTACCTGAGAACGTGATCTATCTACAAGATACGGTCTGGGCGAGAACTTAGAATTGATTTTCACTTTCACGAATGAATCATATGAGCTGTAGATTGGGCAACGGCCTAATTAAGGCCTCCCAATCGCTTAGAAGGTTCAGTTACCCAAATTTACCCGAACTCTACCTTCAACTACTAGCTTCTATTATATACCCAAAAAAAGAAGCCAACGCAGCGCTGGAATAGTTCCGCGTCCTATAAAAATAATCGGACTTCAAATCTCCCAATTTGTCAACTCTAAGCACCGCCCCTCACGGGTGTCTAAAGATAGCTAACATCGACATCAGCAGTCCTTTTCCTTGACAGTCTTACTAGTTCAAGTTCTACTGTACTTTCAATCAATATATTGATTTTCCAGAAAAGTTTGCGTGCATTGCAAGTGCGACAAGAGCGATCACGAGCTACCGCCGAATCAGGCCGGAAGCGTTTACGAACGATTAGGGATCAAACCACCAGGTACATAAGCTTTTCCTATTTTTAGTAGAGTAGCAAACTAGTAGGAACTTTCTGTGCTTAAATATGGAATTTCAACTCAATTTTCTTGGTAAGCATTTCTTCTTATGAAATTAAAGTAACTTCTTGAACTAAGAGATAAATTTTGCTATAGTTCGCAAATTACGACCTCTTTAGGAAATATTTCTCAGATTTTTTTTAAATAGGTCGATTCATTTGACCAGGAAAGTATTTTTGTTTATAAAATAAATATCTGATTGAAAAATAATAGTGAGACTAGTTAATCAAATAATCTAATATATAAATAATCGTTAACTCAATTCAAAAATCTGCAAATAGCGGGAAACCTCGTGGCGGTCTCGAAGCGAACGCTCCTCCAAATAGCACTTTCAGATTACTGGTTCACTAGTAAGTAATAAATAATCATATAGATGGATGAATTAATGAAAAAAAAACGAAATAGCTAACCGAGTGGAGCACAACTTATTTATGTTCAGAATTCGCTGGGCAATTTTTATATAGCGAAACTAAATTGAAAAAAATTTACAATTTAGGAATAATGATTTAGAGCTCAATCTGCCCACACTTTGTATTTATCTCTCTCATCTATTCGGGAGCGACACTTGTTTTGTCCATTTACCAACGAACCAGTGCAAAGTCACTGATATGTCATGATTGAAACAGGAAAATAAACAAATACTTGGGGAGATCCATAAATACCCTGCAAAAATTTTCAACTTTTTAGCAACTAAATGTATCCAAAATCTCTAGTTTTTGTTTATTTTTGGAAATAAATCTCTACAGTTCTCTTGTTGAAAACTACTATTTTTTGTTTTGCCTTGACACTTTCGTCTTTATTCTTGAATAACACCAAATATGAAGCAAATTTGATTGAACAGTGAAAAAATAGATTTTTCTTCGTCTCATTTCTCTGAAAGCTGATTAACCAACTCTAGCACCAAAATTTCGTTTTGTAGAAAAATGTGCGCACATTTGAAGAACCCTCTTAAGCCCCAAGTCAGCGTCTGCATTTCGCAAAAAATCTAAAATTTAATTTAGCCAAGTTCTAGCTTTTAGTGAGATTTCTTTGTCCATTGTTGTGCAGTCCGTATATTCAGGTAGCTTTCATAAGTTTTGTTGAATTTGAAGAAAAAAACATTCTTATTTTCAAAAAGAAATTTCCTTATTTTCAGACTAAATGGAGGGTTCTAACCTTTCAATATGTACATGTCACGCGTAATCCAATTTTTGAACTACTCGAAAATTTCTCGAACTGATTTGGCAAACTTCCATCTTGCGTTATTGAAGAGTTTAAAATCCTAAACTGCCTCCCTATCAGTAGTGATGTCCCGGAACTACGTAAAAAATGAAAAGATAAGACTGACATTGAGAGAATTTCAAGAGAGAAAGAAAAAAAATGGGAACTGAGGAGCCGTCGCAAAATGCCTTTATATTTACTAATTCGTATCTGTGAAGTTGAAGATGCCATCAGATATTCCTTTATCCATTGCTCATTGCCAAATATTAGATTTTGCAATAGTTTTTAGGTTTTTTTGAATAGGAGATGAAAAAATTACCACAAAACTTATGTTACAATCTATTATTTTATTCAACCTATTTTACGACCTATTATTTTGTTCAAAACTCACATAAAATTTATTATGAGCTTCCTCGCTTCGTTTGTTGTACCAGAAAAAGAATTTCAATTTATGGTTTGGGTAAAGAAGCGCTCAGTCGGATTAAAACACCCTTGGGGATTAGATTGAGTGGTTTTCTAATGCTTTGTTCGGAATAATGCATTTTAATGAATCACTCTTGGCGGGGTACTGCCTACTTTGGTCATTCGTTAAGAAACATTCTTTCAAAATGTTCCGGAACTTAGGCTAAACCCAAAAATTTGTGGAGGAATTGCGATCGATATATCGATTTTCAAAAATCATGACCAACATAGAATTCGAAAACCCATTAAAAAAATTTTTATTTTTGCCATCATTTTTGAAAACATTTGGATGACTTGAAGCGATAATTCCTCGCGTGTTGGTCGCGCACGTTTCTCCCGCTTTGTGCAACTGCAGAAAGCACACTAGATCGAGAGTTGCTAACGTCTCCCATTACTGTAAATGATCGAACCCTTTTCACTTTTAGTATTTCACTCTATACTATTAAATGAACTTTCTACAGATTTTTTGTAATTCAATGCATTCAAATCTTCTTATATCTTATTTACATTATTTTTATGAAAATTCCAAAAGATCTACAAAAGACTGGTTCAGTATCCGTTTTCTTTTTCAAATTATCTTTTATAGCCAACATGCCGATCAGCAGCACACGAGACGATGGTGCACCCGGTTCAGTTAGCCACGGATACGCATGGGTCCCACCTGGATTGACACGGAAGAAGGTGAGTATAAGCACGTTTAGTATTTAGGAGCCAGAATCAGTCTGGTGTCTCAAAGTGGCTGATCATAATACAGCCGTGAGTAATCCCACGAAAAACAAAAAATATTTCCTCTCTCTCTCTAATCTCTCTCCTTTTCCTGCGCTCTTTCCTCCTCCGCTCTTTTTTCTTTCAAAACCTGATTAGAATATTCATAGGATAGTAATTCTATGTCGCAAATATATGAATAATGTTTAATCAACATTGTTTTTGATTTGTGGCTTTGACATCTGACTCATCAAGAAATTTTTTTGACCCCCTTGGATCATCTGTGAGTCATTTTTAAACATTTTCTTGCTTCATTAAGTAATGTCTGATTCATCATTAGTTGTTCTTGTCCCAGAGGCCACGCCTTTTTTAGGCAAATTCGTCCCTCGCTCCACCCCTCCCCCTCTTCCTCTCCTCCCTTCCTGCCCTCAAAAGGGCTGTCTATTTTTGGCCATTCCAATCGTGCGTGTCCCCTTTTGCTATGCGTTCACCTAGAATTTGCAATAAAACGGCGTTATGGCTGTTCCATACGGGTAAAATTTGAGCAATTCCACAAACGCGATCCGTATTCTGTTTCGCTGTCTGCATCTCTCCTAACCACACGCTATTTCTCGCGGGATGTCGTTCGCGTAATGTTTACCCTACGTCTCATCATACGTATCGTAATCGCTATCAAAACTCAGTAGAATTCGTAACGGTGCATTTGCGCCTTGTGTATTCGTAAACACTGAAGCTAAAATTACATCTAAGCGGTCGCGTCTATTTTTTCTCAGAGTTTAATTGTAAAGTGCGCGTGCGTTTCAATGCACCCGGTGTGATTACGATTTATGCTAATGTGCTTTGTTGCTTGCGCACTTTTTGCTTGTACTTTTTTGCTGGCGTAGACTTTACGTAAATTTGCGTATGTTATCAGTTGGTGGCGCAGAAGCCACTAGGAACGGTGCATTTCGGCCTCCGTCACAAATCACACATGACAGTAGCATCTATTTTCCTTTTTATCATCTATTGTTCTTTTCTTCTTTATCTTTTTTTGTCCTTCTCTAGCCTCTCCCTCTCACTCTTTCTCTCTCATTCGCACTTCTTTTTCTAAATACTGTTACTCCATTTACGTCTCTTCTATGGGCTATAATCAATCTCTGCGTCTCTGACCTCTTGTCTTTGTCTGTCTGCGTCTCCCTCTTCCTCTTGCTCTTTCTTCTTTCGTGTCTTTTTTTCGCTCACCTTTTGTTTCCCTCATTTTTGGGCTCCTCATTTAAAGTGGGAATTAAAAAAAATCGTGTCGACCGAGTTGATGCAAATTTAAAATTTTCTAGATTGTACTTTGCTTTTGCTAACCTCTTGAGCATTTTCATCCAAAATTCACGTCTGCTACAGTTTCATGTTGAATTTTAAGTTACTGGGATAATTAATTATGGTTAAGAAATTCTAAAGGCTCTACTGCGACTTTTTTTCCACCCTCTACCTTCTTTGCATTCTAACACTGCTTCTCACCAACTCTACTTTTCTCCCCGTCACATCGGGTAGGGATCCTGTTTTCTGTTTTTTTTCTGTTTTTTTCTTTGCGTCAAGGTCTTTGTTGCATGCTTTCGTCTTTTTGTTTCTAATCTCTTTTGCAGTTACTCGTCCGTAGGATGATGCCTATTATTTTGTCGAAGCAGATTGCTTGTCGCAAAATACCAGGCACAACGAATATCCGATCTGCCCTGTATAAATGCAGCTTAGCCCTACCTTCCCCCCCCCCCCTAGTTAGCTTCTGCTTTGTACTTGAAAAATGAGCGCCTCTACTGTTTGGTAAAGGGCTAGGCATATTTCACGCGATTTTAGTCGCGACGCGATTTGGCAATATTCCAACTGTCTATAACATACAGTAAACACATTTCAAATGTACAGAGGATAGGGCATTTTATCAATCTACGTGAGTTATACACACTATGCATGTGCAGTTTGCTGGTGGTTGGGTTTGAAGACTTCTGGCAAATTGCCAAATCGCGTCGCGACTGAAATCGCTTGAAGTATCCCTGGCCTTTGAGATGAAATGGTCTGGTAAATTTACATTTGTTTCTAGCATCCAAAATCTATTTATAAAAATGGTCTAAATGTAAAATTATTTTAGCCTCTAAAAAGTACTGCAGTACTGTCGATTTATGCTCCCCCTCACCAACTTCAAATTGACTAGAAATGCTTTGTTTAATTAAGTAAAGATATCATGCACAAATTGCAATACTAGAAACACTTGTTTCCATGCTGCGTATAGGCCCGCTACTGCGGCCGCTGTCTGCGTCTCTCAAATCGCATGCATTTCCATTTCTCTAACCGCCTGCTATCTCTTCAAACACATACTATCCCGATCGAACGCAATTGGGCCCAGTCTCTGTGCGCAATGAATCTCTTTTTAATTTTTTAAAATTAAATTTAGTTTAGCTGATCTTGCATATGTTACATCTCTTAGTTTGGTCACAGTCACTATAAAATCTATTGCGCCTTCCGAAAGAAATTTGTAAAACTTTACAATTTTTCTGTTAGCTTTTGACCCTCATACAAACCTAATTCGGTTTTCGTGAAAATTGTAGATTCATTTTGATCAAACAAAAATAGCTAGTTACTTTTATAAGCTCCAGAAACTATTAGGTCGTAACAGAATTAATGCAGGTTTTGATTTCAAACCGCAATAAGTCATACATTTCTCACTTTTGAATAGGTTGCAAGGTACTGTTCGATAGAGCAAAGCAAGCTCTACAAAATGGCTGTCTTGCTTTAGCAACATCTCTGATTCACCACGAGTTTCGAGCCAAAAACTAAAAAGATTCAACTGTCCAAAAAATTGAGAAAAACTGTAACTCAGTTCATAAAAAACCTACAAAAATTCTAACTTGCTCACGTAAGCACTATTCACATAAGACATCTATACACGCCTTTGCCGTATTTTTTTCTCTGTGAGAAATCAAGAAAACGGAAATTTTAGTGCGTTTGCCAAAGTGATGCTGTGTCGTTCCCACATAAGTAGTTGTATACTACAAACCTGTAGAAGTATAAACGTGAATTTCCAGCTCTCTACAAGCTTTAGTTCTCAAAAAATAGCAAATACAGTTTTCGCTAGTCATGTGTTCCAATCTAAAATTCAAATTTCTCGAGAACTAAAGCTCATAGAAAGCTGAAAACTTACGTTTGTACCTTTACAGATTTGTATTACACAACTACTTATGTGGGAATGGCACAGCAACACTTTGGCAAATGCACGAAAAAGTCCGTTTTCTTGATTTCTAACAGAGAAAAAAATACGGCAAAGGCGTATATAGATGTCTTATCTGAATAGTGTTTACGTGAGCAAGTTAGAATTTATGTAGGTTTTTTATGAACTGAGTTACGATTTTTCTCAATTTTTCGGACAGTTGAATCTTTTTAGTTTTTGGCTGAAACTTCGTAGTGGATCAGGGCTGTTGCTAAAGCAAGCAAGCCTTCTTGTAGAGCTTGCTTTACTCTATCGAATGGTATTTGCAACCTACTTAGAAATGAGAAGTGTATGAATTATTGCGGTTGGAATTCAAAACCTGCATTAATTCTGTTACAACCTAATAATAATAAATTAGGTAGTTCGCTTTTGTGAACAGCAAACAAAATGTCGGTGCCCTTTGACTCAAATCATAGGTAAACTCTGATGATGTTATGTTACTGTTTAACAGTAACATCATCAGAGTTTAGTTTACCTATGATGTGCTCCTTGCATAAAAACCTGGTCCTAGACCACTACCGTATCTTTTGTTCCGTCTTTTTCAATGTCTTGTCCGCGGCATTTATGCCACCATAATCACTTAAACATACAATTAGACATATATTTAGTCGTATGTAGACTGGTCTAAAACTATTCTTCACTCACTTCTATTCTGCTTTTGTTTTGTGATCGATATGATAGGCATACGCTATCCTTGTTCCACTTCATCCACTTCGCTATCGGTCAGTTCACTGAATTGGCCAATAGCAATGTGGACGGATCAAGTAGATCAAATGGACCAAGTGTGGCGTGTGCTTTACTGTTCAAGCTCTAATACACTTTGTTCTATATAAAAACTATATTATCGATGCAGGAATTCCTTTCAGAGTACTTCCGTTTCTAAATTTAGTACCTAGGCATAGGAGCACATTCATACATTGTTCATCAGCAGTCAGTCTGTTCTATGGTGATTCACAAGCAAGATTCAGTGGAGTCTTTTCCAGCATTTCGGACAGTGTGTTTGCTTCGCTTCCGGTACGCAGGGTTTTATGTAGATTCTGGGACCGCTAGTTCGAGGCTAGGTTTTCCATTAAGGAAGTGCCTTTTAGAAGAATACATTGTTCTTTTTGTCTAACAGGGGAAGGATACTTGGATGCCGTAGCCATTCATAATGATTTGTATACCAAAAAATGCGCTTTTGAATGCTGGTTCGTAGACTGTCTTTCCTATCTGCGAAACGATAATCTGAATGGAGTTATGATTTTTTTTCGTTAAAAAAATTGCGTTCCTGCGGAGGGTCAAAATCATCAATAAAAAAATTTTCTCTTCTTTCCAAATGCTGAGTATGATCCAGATAGTCCAAATAAATATTACTACATCTAAAATTTTCTTCAGTAGCATCAAACGGTAGGCTAGATCAAATCTGGTGATTTTTACTATCCAAAAGTAGGCTAAATTCTCAAGGAAAAAAGTTCATAACTTTCTTCAAAAGATCGTTTCGCAGATTTCGAGCACAGATTCAGAATCTGCATTCGAAGGCGCTTTTTTTGTATACAAATCACTAGGGATGGCCGCGGCATCCAACTATCCTTCCCTTGTAAGAAGTCGAAAAGTCAAAAATTCCCAAAAAGTTTGAAATAATAAACAAAAACATGAACTCTACAACAAAAATTATGATGACCCTTATTGTTGTCCTTTCATTTCTTACTCTAAAACGAGCATATTGATAAATGGTGGTTTTTTGTGTACCAGTCTTTAGTAACCAAAC